ACTAAATGTTATGCACTTCTTCCCACTCTGCAGAATGAGCTCTTTCTCCTCCCTGAGAATGAGCCTTCAATGTCACCTTCAAAGACAAGTCTTTCCAACTGTCCCATTTCAAATAGCATATCTCTACTGTGATGTTCTTAGTGCCTTTCTTGCTTTGTCCATATATAATTCTTACAATCTTTATTATTTACTTACCCAAATTCTATGAGGGCATGTGCCTTATTTTTCTTTTTAAATCTATAATCTAAATTTCAGATTACAGAAAACAATAATAAAATAATGCAAAAACGGAATATATCTTCAATTTTTTTTAATGTCAATCTGATTAAATTACAGGTTGAATAAAACACTAGAGATAGGCAATTTGATCCTGTATGAATTAGCTTGGTTACATGATTGACAATGTATGTTGGACAAAGTAACCTATTTTGATCACCTAACTATATATACTGATTTCCAGCATGTTTATGATCCCAAGATGGTGAGTCAAAGGTACAACAAAAAAATGTCTATTACTGTTGGGATTTGGTTGATGAACAGTGTGAAGTGGGATCTTTTCTTTCACCATTTAGAACAAATGAAGCATGCAGTCAGAAGCATTTGTGTATGTGAGGGGGAAGAGGGAAAGAGTGTGAGTTACTGAAACTGTGATTGGTAGGGAAAAACAGTTGGTAGAAAAAAATTTATGATATCTTTTGTATTTAAGTCATTTATACTAGCAATGATTACTGAAGAAACAAAGAAACAAAAGGCTTTCTACTATTATATATTTTAGTACTTATTTTGTGATGTAAAAGTAATGAAAAAGTAAAAGGATGTAATTTAATCACTAATTTATCCTGTACCATTAGACATATAATTGTCCCTTAGGAAATTCATATAAAAGTGCTGTACTCATGAATACTACATTAACTTTAACGATATTCATCTAAGCTATTTTTGGTTTGAAGAAGAGTTCCTTAAGGATTATATATAATTTCTGTGCAAGAAAAATTTTTTAGATATAGTATTATCCCAAGATCAGGACAAACAACACTTAGATGATCATTGCTGGATCAGCATAAAAATATTTTTTGTACTTTGGATGCTAATCAGTAAATAGTAATTATATAATTACTTATTTTATATTGTAAATGTTTAATAAAATTATATTCTAAGCTGTATTTATACTTATGCCTAACAAGAATGGGTGTGATTACAATCTCTGGAACCCTTACAACTATAAATAGTTTATCCTCAAAAACTAATTTCATCTAAATGAATGGTCTTTCAGAAACATTAATCCAGTGTTCCTAATATAACAAAATTTTTAATATTTTCAATATTTTAATGTTCACTCTTGAACATTCTTAAAGTTTCCTCAATGTCTCCATTCTATAAATATAAGAACAATAGTCAATCAGAGTTTGTGAATAAAACTTATGAACGGTCCACTAATTATAGGCTATGAATTTGTTAATCAGATGTTTTTCTGCTTAGATATATTTACCTGTATTTACATACAACTCAGTGGATTATGCAGTTGATTCACTCGAATTAATAAATTTAATGAAACCAATCAGTCACACTATTGTTTTGCTTGTTTATTCTGTTTGTCACTGAATTGCCTGGCGGGGGGGGGGAACCAATTAACAAAGTATTGGCAATAAAATAATTTCACTAGACTTATGTACTCATACCATATTTTGACTTAATTGAATTATCAGAGTATGCAATTGATTATTTTTGAAAGCATGAACCACACCCTTAGAGATGCATCGACTCATTTAAGCTATAAAGTAGTATTTGCTGCAGAATAATTTTTGATAAATGGATTCCTGGTGTCTAGTGGCCACTGTGATATACAGCACATGGTTAGCTTACACATGAAGATTGTGTTTTATATTCATATAAGTGTCTAGTAGAGAAATGAAAGGCTATATTCCTTGAAAGATAAAACCTTTTTAAAATAAAAATTACCAACACTTAACTAATACTGTGGTTTTAAATATAGGGAAAATTCATGGACTATGAGAGAGAAAAACATAATTCATGTTTCCACTTATTTAATCAGATGAAGTGATCTAGGAAGCACCTTTACTTTCTGATCGATTCCATGAGGTTTGGTTAACAGGAAGAGAGAGTCAAATTGATTTATTTTGTCTTTACAGTTAGCTTCACACTTAGTTAAAGACAAGAGAAGAGATCTTGTCTATAGTCAAGTTACTGTTTAACATATTTCATGTTAAAATAATGAGGTAGGTTACTTCTTTCTCATTATCATCATCATTTTACCTTGCTTATGTATGGAAAACTGAAGCGTGGGGTGGGAATTCTAGGAAAAGTGAATTCATTTTTTTCAGCCATGAAGGATGTCATATAATTGGGTAAAACAGATAAATAACATTAAAATATTACTTTGTCAATAGCTTAATCAGGAAGAAGTTACATAAAAATATAATTTTATTCTCTATAAAGTAACAAATTTCAAAATTAAAGCATTAATTCCATTAGCCTTTAAAGTGAAAATTATCGGAAAATTAAAGCTATCTTCTCAAAACTAAATATGAATATTACTGTTTATTTTTGTGTATAATAAATCAAATTTATATTTTACATTAATCTTAACAAGTTAAATATAGATAATTCTACAATGTCCCATGCTTTCCATGTTTAAAAACAGATACTTTCATTTATTTTATTATGAAACTATAAGAAAAATCCCTAAAATGTTATTAAGAATAACATTTAGAAAGTTAGCATTTTATTAACCTTTAGTGTGATGATGTCAATATTTGAAAGTTATCTCAATTTATTAGGAAAAATTTCTATTCACTAAGACTTTGGGCTATAAAAAGCATCATTTCATAAATAATCATTTGTGTGATAAAAAATCTGATTACACTTTAAAGTGTTCTTTTGAAGAAGTCACGCCAATTTTACCCAATTTAACCTTTAGGTACTATTCTGCCCATTGTACTCTTTTGCACAGCCTGTGCTTTCAGTGTATCAATACAAATTCAAATTAAGAGTTTAAGTAGACAATCTTTAATGCTTCTATTTAACTGATGGGAAAATTGGGCAATACTCATTCACTAAGTTAAGCTAAGTAATAAAAATTAATTACAGATGCTTGGCATATATTCTAGGTAAGACATCTGTAAATACTACGGGAAAGTCATTAGGTAAGCAGATAAAATTACTGCAAGAGGTTAATAAGTAACATCTCAATGCTCTTAAGTTTACTACGAACGTCTGAAAGGTCATACTTTAACAGGACATATTTTGGTAGAATGGCACTTTAGAGTCATATGTAGATTCAGATATCTGTTTTATTCATGTTAGTAACCCCAGGGCCTAGGGTAATTACTGATATATTTAAATAGATAAATGTTTGAGTAAATTATTGCATGAGAATAGCTGTTATAAACTTCTAGTACACTTGACAAAGTATTCATCTCTACTATATCCCTATTTACTAAAGTACAATATCAATGTCTGACTTTCCAATTATTAAAAATTGTTTTCTCTCCTTGTAATAAAAAAAGGTAGTCGTTTCAGTTTTTTAACAATCTTCTATCTTCACAGAAATAAAGTAACTACCTATTCAATATTTTATACCAATAGTCTCTAAAAACAAATGAGAGATGCAGTGTGATGGTGTACAGCACCACAGCAAAGCAGGACACTACAACTGGTGTCTATTATGCGATCTATCTTCAAAGCCATGAGTATTACGTATGGTTTCCAAATTCACCTACATGTTTGTGATTGCATTCTGTCAGTAAAAACAATTGTAGTCATTAGGAAAATATGCCAAAGTACCAACTGCACCAATGAGAACTTAATTTTGATCCTGAATAATTATAAATCTAAGTAAAATGGCCATATATGTAGAGGACAAAAAAAGAATGCTGTGTTGTTTACTTGTCTTCTCCCTTAGCCTTCTCCTTCTCACAAAAAATGCACAGTTTCAAGCCATCTGACCTCCATTTTTATATCTGAAAATTACTTCGAGACTCTGAAACATCTGCCTTATATGTTAAATAACTATAACTGACCACCACACACAATATTTGAAGTGACATATTGGTCATTACAGCAAGAGTGAGAATATCTAGCTAGGTACATGCTGGAAAACTTTTATGGTTGTTTCATGCTTGGTCTGAAAGGACTTAGAACATGCAGATGGCATTTTTTACAGATCTTTATTCACAGCAGAAATCTAATGAGATATGTTTCATAAAGACTGTATTAATAAAAAAAAGGAAAAGGCTCAAATATTCTAAGGGATTCCATCACTTTTTACACACTATTCACCTTCAGTTTACCACTTTACCCACCGAAACAAAGTCCTCCAAGAAATCTGTCAGTGACTTGACTTCATGAACAGGGTATTCACAGCTTGGAAATTCACCCTAAACGCTGTTCTACTCCCCACGCTCAAGCATACGAAGCCCCAACACAGATCGAGGGCATCTGGTCTAGGAAGAATTTCAAATAAGTCTACTTTGGTGGCAGGAATGGAAGATGATGCCTGAGGCTGGGCGAGGGCGGCAAAGTCACTGGAGGGGAAGGGCTGGTAGCTGGTCACGGGGTACAGCGGGAGCACCCTGCCTTCCAAGAAGGCATTTGGGAGAACCACACACGTTCCCCTGAAATGAGCGACCACCAAGAGCCAAGAAGTCTCCATTAAGTCTGTGCCATGAAGCCTGACCTCCGGCCGAGACAGCGCGGTGGGGAGCGGTCCTAAGGCCGCCAGCGGTGGGACCCAAGTGCAGCTGATGCTCACGCAACCATTTAAAGACATTTGGAAGCAGAAGGGATCCTAGCCCGTGGGGTCGCCGTCCCGGGCGGTCCAGACAGGGCGCTATGTAAGGGGACATCCTCGACCCCGCCGTGTGGCGAGCCAAGAGACGCGGACCCCGGGACGAAGTTACCTGCAGGAGGCAACCAGTGCCCTGGTTCTCCAAGCACCCTCCTCCTCCCACCCACTCCCGCTCCTCCGCCCCGTCCCTTACCTTGGTTGTTGGAGACGTGACTGCAGTCGCCTGGCCACGCTGTCAGCAAAGGCAAGAAGAAACCAAATTGCAAAAGGAATTCCCGGACTTCGCAGCCCCCCATGGTTCTCCCCGGCTCTCTTCTCCTCTCCCTTAAAGAGTAGTGGCGGCAGCGCAGGCAGGTGTTCCGGGTACGACGGGGGTCCTGGTCCACGTCTTCTTCCTCCTCCTCCTCTTCCTCCTCCACCCGGCCCGCAGGGGGTGTCCCGGGGCGCCCCCCGCGCGAGGTCCCGGGGACAAGGCACGAGGGTCCAGGCTGCCCAGGTGCAGGTGCAGCTGCTTCGGAGGAGGACGCTGCCTGCGGCGCCGGGGAGGTCCTGGCGGCTGGAGGCGAGGGGAATCGCATCCACCACGGTGTCCCGCTCGCGCGAGGACTATTCACTTGGGCCCGAGAGAGCGCGCGCGCAGGAGCGAGCTCGGGCTGTGGTTTGGGGGAGGGGAGCGAGGGGGCGGGGAGCGCCTCACCGCGAGCACGGGGGCGGGGAGGGACCGCCAGGTGGGGCGGGCATTGGGGCGGCCCGAGCGCCTCTCCCGACTCCAGAGGGCGCGTGCGGAGCCGAGGGCGGGGGAGGCGCAGCAGCTGTGAAGGGGCGCGGGGCCGCGGGAACTTTCCTCCGGCCGGTGCCCGGGCGGACGGCGGCTCAGGCGGGCCACGAGGGGTTCGGGCGAGGCGCGCACTGAGCCCCGAGCTCCGGGCCTGGGCGGCGAGGGCGGCGGCGAGGACAGCGGCTCCCACCGCAGGCTCCTCCGAGTCGGCCGCGTCTGCGCCGCGCTCCGGCCGTGGCCGCCGCTTTCCCGGCGTCTCCGAGGCCGCTCTTCGTCCCACAAGCACTTAGCCGCCCGGTTCACAGGAGCGGCGCGGGCCGTTTTAGGTCGAGTCCGCTCCCAGCACCGCCTGCCCCCGACTTCCCCACATCCCCCCGCTGGAGGGGGCGAGGGCCCTGGACGGCCGCTCCCGTCCCGAGAGCGCGCGGCGGCGGCGGTCAGCGCGACCGTTCTCCGCGCGGGCCGCCCAAACTTGCCCACCGGGGCGAGCGCCTCCGCGGTTTCCAGTCCTGGAAAAGCAGAGCGCGGGGCGGGAAGAGCCGAGGGGGTCACATCAGGCGGGAAGCGGGCGGGTGCCCGGCGCCCGGGCTCGCGAGGTCTTCGCGCCGCCGCGCGGAGGTGACTTCGCGGTGGAGGTCACGAGCATCGTCGCAGCCCTGACGCTGGGATTCAGGGGTCCCTGAGCGTCCACGGCGTGGTGGCGTCGAGCCGCGCTCTCCTAGCAGCCCCAGGGCCGCGGGGCGCGTGGCCACATCCACGGCAGCGCAGGGGCGCCGTGGCTGAGGGCTGTCCCAGCACGAGCCGTCCCCTCGCGGCACCCACTCCCTCCCGCGCGGGTCTCCCGGAAGCCGCGGCGCAGGGCACGAGGTGGGACCGCGCGGCCCCCGCCCCAGGCTCGGGGCCACACCGCGTGCGGACGGAAGGGACCCCCGCGGCCGAGGCGGGCGCGCCGCAGAGCCGGCCGAGCCCAGCCTTCCCCGGCCCGGCTGCCGCGCCTCCGATGCCGCCAGTTCGGCGCTAGAGGGGGTTAGTCGACAACGAAAACTCCCGCACCGCCTGCAGGTGGGGGCGGCTCCCCAGGCGAGGAACCGCGCGGAAGGAGGGGTGCTGCGGGCCAAACGACGCGTTGGCTACGGGCGCGCCGAGGAAGGCGCGGCGCCTGGGTGGGGACTCAGTCATTCTACACTCGTGACTGCCGTTTCCATCATCACTTTTCTTTCTTGAAGGGACCTCGGCTATCACAGTCGAGTGAGACTGAAAACCCCACTTCAAAACCCGTCGGAATGTTTCGAAAAAATATTGATGGCAACGGAGAAAGTGAACAGAGGAGAGAAAGTAGCGGTGTTGTAAAGGATAGACGGTATTTCCCAAGTGGGCAGAAGGCACAGGAGGGAAATGGCTCAGTGACAAGCGCTGAAGGAGCGGAGGGTCCGCGTTTGACGCTTGCCGCGTTCCCGGAGGGAAACAGCCCTTCCGTTCCACGCGTTTCCGCGCGGCGGGGGTTCACGCCGCACACCACAGCGGAAGGCGGCTCACTGAACGCCTGACAGTAAACTGGCAGGAAAGAGGGGGGAGCAGGAAATGCCCCACATCTAAAATTCTGCTTCGTGGAGAGAAATGTGAAATGCAAGTGATTTCCAGAGTGGGAGCAGGGTTTCCGATTGGTGACTGTACTCTCATCCTCATGAGGAATTCATACACTGCTGCTTGTCTTTGAAGGTGTCCACGCCAACTTAATGGATGCAAATCATTTCTATAGAGATACCATGTGTGGAGTTTATGTATCGGCTCTTAAAAGAGTAAAATCTGATTTTGATTCTCATTTTACTACTGTTACTGATATTGATGGACCACATGGACATTCGCAAACTCATTTTAGAGTTTATAAAAAGTTGTAAAATAAAAACACTACATTATGACGGTTATGATATAAATCATTGCGTCTAAATAATGTTCTTAGAATTGTTTGATTCATTATACCGATAATTCTATTCAAAATCTCTTTTTATATATTGTCAAAATATATTTCCATGACCTTTTTATAATTAAATTTTCATTTTTAAATTTTGGCTTACAGTAAACCTATAAACATCATTGATGATTCACTAAAAGAAAAATCGTTCAAGAAGATACTCCTTATAAATTGAAGGAATGTATCTTAAAATATAAACCATATGAATCTATTTCCATACTTTTACTTTTGAAATTAGACTTGCAAGGGAAAAAATTTTAATGGAACATCACCAAAAGGAAGCGATTTCAATATAATTCCCAACATCGGATATTTTAAAATCAAAGTTTAAAATCGAATTCTGATATTTTGCTTGAGTGTACATTTTAGAGAATATCTTATAAAATACCAAGAAGCTTCCCTTAAAAAATTAGCCTAGAAGGCAATAATTGTAGTGGAAGGAAGGGGAAAAGGCAGGGGGAAAAAAAAGGAGAAAGAAATCGAGAGGGAAAATTAGGTTTATTTCTAGCGCTCCCACTTAGTTAGAAATCATGACACAGTGCCTGAAACAAACTGTTACTTCAAAGTAACAATAATCGACTTGATTAACCTGAACTTCTAGTGCCCCCCTCCACTATAGTTACAGTTCAGCTACATTTCATAATTTTTGTATGTTTAAATGAGCCAAAGTCAAGTTTGATATAATATATATGCCTGGTCAGATAATTGATAGTCATATTCTGGTCTTGGCTTTTAAGAAAAAAAATTACAAGACTTTTCTCAATATTAAAACCTATCTCACATGTTTGCATATGTTTGGATGCTGCCTATTGCATGTCTAGAAGATAATGACATCTTAAGTAAAAACTCATCTCAAAGCGAGTTGAAATATAATTATCACGGCCTTTGACAATAGCAAGATTCCATGAGTTTGACATGATTATTAATGTTAAAACATGATTGTAAAAAGAATTACCATGACCGTTTGATCATTTGTTTTATATATATATATATATATATATATGCACACAGATGCACAAATGTGTATATGCATGTCTTCTAAAATGTTTGGTTCTTTTTATGTGCTCAATTCTCTTCACTCAGGAAAGAGTTCAGAGTAAACTACTTTGTATGAGTATCAATTTCTTTTATAAACCTAACATTTTATTTAAACTATAGTCATGGTTATCTATGTAAGCTAGAAGCAATTGCACTTAGAAATGTACTTCCTTTTTGGTTTTCTAGCAGTGTTGAAATATTTGCTGACATGTGACAGTTTCAAAATTATAAGCTACTCAATGAACCAGATGCAATATTCATGTAGATTTATTTGCACTTGTCTGTTTGAATCATACCCATACTCAGAAAAGCATTCATGTCTCATTTTTCAGAACTACATTGTTCAGAATTCTTTTGTATTCTCTCAGACTATTGTTCTTCATGATATATGTGGTCTGAATTCAGGTAAGATATGATTAAAGTTTTTATTAAATAAAGAATATATGACATTAAAAACTAGTCTGCTTTTATTTATAGTAGAAATAATAGTATTCACAAATGTTATTTGCTTTTAAAAATGATTAAAAGAGGAGAGTCTTAACCTGCAGTTACTTCCTTTGAGAAAAAAAGAAGGATTATAATGTTTAATGCTCAGCATGTTTCAAGGCTTGAGAAAGTCTTAAGTATATTATTCTGGTAGAAGAGTAAATTAATCCATTCACAGCACCAATTTGCATTCTCTAAGGTCAAGGTAGAAGAAACATAAATAAAAAGAAAGTTGATCCTCAAATATGCCAAAATATCAGGTCTTAAAAGATTAGGTGGGTACTTTGAAAAGAACAAATTACATGAATCTTTTTTGTTAATATAAAATGTAAAGACATGCTGTAGGCAATAATATTGTTATTTTCATGCCATCAACTTTAAAATATAAGTTAGAGGGCTGTGTTCTATGTGATTCACCATGCAAACAGCTAAAGTTAAAAAAAAAATCCATGAAGTCAAATACAGTTAATTTTAGGCTCATTGCTTTTAGAAAGTATGTAATTAGGGGAAAACATACACATTGTTTACTTTAGAAATTTTGCTGTGGTAAGAAGAAGTAGATAATATTTTTCTGAAAAAGAACATTCAAAGCAGTGAATTTTACTTTATTGTTAGCACATCAAATCTTAAAAACCTTACAGAAAAAAATGCAACTTGAAGTTACATAAAATGTATTATAGTCGATTCTGCTATGATAATTGAATTTTGGTTCTTGTGCTACATGCAGTGAAAGAAAAATATGTGTACATATGTCATATACATGTCATATTTATATATGTGTGTGCATGAAATTCAATAAAAATATTCTCTCTAGTACTTTTCTAATTCAGTAACCATTTACCAAGCAAGATTTTCACATTCATTTGTGCTGAGCACTGTAAGGAAAGTACAATGATTATTTGGATTTAGTTCTTACGTCTCAGAAGTTTATATTATATTGCAGCACAAAGACATATAGGTTATTCCAATTAAAATCAATCTCTGTATTCCTACAGTAGAGTTCCAAGTTATTATCGTTGTGTAAGAGGAAAAGAATTATACCTTCACCTTCTAAGGCATGGATTTCTTACAGTTACTGCTTTTACTTGAGTTAAACTCACTCTTGGTATGGCTTGATCCACCATCTGAAGGCTGGTACATAAACTTTCACTAACATTAAAAGCAATACTAAAGGTTATGCACAGTGACCTAATAATTTAAATAGATTCAAATAACTTGCAATATAATGAAGTTGACTTAACAGCCTGTGTGGCATCAGGCATCCACAGAAAGTAATTTTACTAAATTATGTAGAGACTTTTTAAAATTTATAAATGTAAATTATTTCAATTTTACAAGTAGTACATTAGTTTATTTTTCATTCCTCA